ATCCTTATTTATGTTTGCCATAATGTCCCCGATGGCAGCCTTCAACGAGTCCTTGGTATTATGGGCATGCTTGTTGGTCTCCCTCTCAACGACGCCCCAGACGTAGTAGTCCAGGGGGTTTAAATCAGGAGAGCTAGGAGGCCAAATGTTAGGGGTAACATGATCGTGAAAATTTTCGGCCAGCCACTCCTGGGTCGTGCTGGAACACCTACGGCCTCCCCCGAGCCGAGACGCTGTCAAGCCCTGGATTGAGGGAGTGGCAATTGGTGAGTAATAAGAGAGTAAATGTGAACTTGCTCACATGGGGCTCACTTTTTAATCTCTCTTACTTACGCTTGGAATTTTCTAAAAGTGTACCTCATCGTTTTGCGTATCAGATGTAAGTCCGCCATCCTTTGTGAAATCCTCATACATGCTCTCATCCGTTTGAGGAATGGCCTGGTCGGACTGAAAGGAAGATTGATCCGATGATTCTTTGTCTATGTAGTCCTCTAAACCGTCTTCTGTTGCGATGATTTTACGTCATCGTTTTCATTCGCAAGAGATGAGGAGATCTGCTGGTCCTCCGGGTGTTGAAATGGACCGTCTAAGGTCAATTGGGAAGCGCTAGTTCAAAATCCAAATTATTTGTTTGAACAGCATGTTTTTTCAAGCGCCTAATAACATTTCTACCAAAATATATATCTGAGGAGAAGTGGTACGAGCACACGAAAGTATATCTAATTTTCTACATGTCGATTCGACCTATAAGTAATTTTTTATTATATAGGATTCGACAATGCAAACCTTGCCGGGCCCTTACAGCTAACGAATGCTGTGAAGGTAATGAATGTAAGGAACCGAAGAATATGAACGAAAACAACGAATACATGAGCAATGTAGGTACAATGCTGTGAAGGGTGGCTCAGACAACCGCAAGTACACTCTTAGAAAAAGTAGAGCGATTTTTCTCAAAAAAGAGAGTAAAATAGCTAACTCCAGTTTCACCCTCCTTTCACTCTGGGAAAGGAGCGAATTTATTCCATCACCAAGGAGTAAAATTGCTCTCCTCCTCCGTGAGTAAGAACGCTCCCATTAGAAAGTGATAGGGATGTCATGCAAATACGAACATTCTCATAAATACTGTGTGGCGCTTTTGCTCTCTTACAGGCGTTAATCTACCTCTGACTGTACTGAATACAGCATATGTCAGAGGGTTGACCATCTCTTATAGGTTCCGTGGAGTGTCTGGGATATCAGTCCCTTATTACCTCATCTAATTGAGGTATGATTGAATGAAGCTCACAGACATTCTGTATATTCTAGATCTCCCATGCGGATAATATCATACGCCTCCCAAAAGGGTCTCAAAAGGAATAAGAACTTGTTTATGGCCTGGACTCTATGCATGTGTCTTGAATATGTGGATAACAAATGATGAAGTATCCGTGCTTATTGATTCCTATAATGGGACTAGGCGAGACAAGGTACTAAACAATCCTGCGAGGGACTATTCCGGGGAAAGAGTGAAGGGAACTTTTGTGTACTGTGCGAAAAGCAAGACCCTTGCTCCATCTAATGGCCTTGCGAAGAACTTCAAGGTGTTCACTTCAATACGAGCGGTGAGGGAGCATTTGGTGAGTAATAAGAGAGTAAATTCGAAAAGCTCACGGTTTGCTCACTTTTTACTCCCAAAACGCTCGGAATTTTCTAAGAGTGTAGATGGAGTTATGAGTGAGACGACAGAAAGAGTGCGTATGACCTATCATGGAGGTAGTGAAATGGTCTGGGCCAAAGCGGCCGCTTTTGTAGGGGAACCTTTCGCTGACGTTATTACATGCGCAAGATTTTACCCCCCTCTCTCTCCGACCCCCCTTGGTTCATATGCTGTTTGGGAACTATCTATATCAGGGGTCGGGAACCTATGGCTCATGTGCCAAATTTGGCTCAGTTTGGCTCATTGAGTCATGACTGAAAATCATGGTTGTTCCTCATTTTTCTCACGTATCAAAGATTGCATTGTCTGTTGTCAACTTCAGGAAAAATTATGTCGTTTTGAAAATATTTTGCTCACAAGCACTTAACTCAATCTTAAAATGGCTCACATGGCCAAAAAGGTTCCCGACTCCTGGTCTATATGTATAAACTGTATACATGTAATGGTTTCATTTGATCGTGATTATACTTGGCACCTGATCATGTGATTGGAGCATCGTGTCAGCAAAGACGAAGTAAGAATTCAGTAAAATCCAAGAACCGAAACGGCAATCTAACACTGAGCGCCTCGATGTCATTTGTCAAAGCTCATTTCACCTATCATTCCACGTGACGCCTCAGCACGTCAAAGGAGCATGGTGCCTATGAAGCTAACAAAAAAGTCCGCTTATTCCATATAGGGTTGAAGTTTGAAAGCAACATGTTATGTGGAGCGCACCTTCCAGCCTTAGCGAGTTTGTCCCAATGCAATCTACAACACACCCTCTCAGTGTCGACGCACAGATGCGAGACCGCAGCACAGGAAATGAACCACCCAAATGTGGGAGTTCCAGTCTCAAAAACACCAATGGTTCATTTGGCGATCATAAATTCAGTGGCCCTATCATCCCTGTAGGCAGCAGCACCTCTTTCCTATTATTTACGCAGCCCTAAGTACGACTCTTGAAGTCCCCCTTCATCCTGTTGAAGGAAGGATGACTTCCTCACATGGGCGAGATCTTTGCCCTTGCATTTATCAAAATCCCAACCCCTTTGGGGTTGGGATTCTGATTGTGATCAATATGAATTTTCATATTGATCACAACTCTGACTGCTTCGTCCGTAAAGACCATCTCCATCATTTCACTTGCAAGTCTATGAGTGAAATATACGGATATGGAACGAGATGGTAACTACTCGACCGTTAAACCGTTTCAAGCTGTTAGCAATTGAAACTTTGGTGTGAAATTTGCCTGTGTGGACAGAACCACTCCTGATGGGTTCTATCCACCCGCCGGCTTCATCAAGTTTGATATTTCTGGCCTAGGCCAGCTGCTTGGACATTGAACGTCTTGCGTATCCCCTCCCCCCTCCTTATATTCGTATCGATCGCGACCATGTGCGTATCGTCGGTAAAGTCCATCTCCGCCACTTTTCATGTAGGCCTATGGGTGAAAAAGGCTTTCTATGGGAGCATAAAATACATGGAATGGTAGAACATCAATCTGTCAAGCTCCGATCTGTCGTGTCCGGGAATCTAACCTGGGAGGTCCTCCCAGATTAGACTCCCGGACACGAAACCGTTTTCTTTCCTCCTCTCTTGCAATCCCAACTCCCCCCTGGGATATTACGTTATCCAGAATAGATCCGAC